CCACTCCTCAGTATTAACGAACCGCCCGTTAACGGGATATACGCCCGCAAGGGTGTGAAGGATGCGGTGCACCATACGTCCGGTTCCCGTGTATCCACGTTCGCTCTTGGCCTTGTCAATGAGCAGCTGTAATAGCGCAATGACTTCGTCCTTGTGCTTCAACAACTACCCCTTACAATCAGCAGAAGTTACTCCGTAAGGTCCCAGAAGACTTACAGCTGGTCCACCATATCCGAGACATCCTCTCAAAATGGACATGTCTATGGACGAGTTGAGCAGCATGAAAATAGAGCATCAACGCGAAACCTTACTCCAGTGTAGAGTCGTGTCTGAGGGCACGGCAGCATGAGTGGAAGTCGTTCTAATACTTGAAGCGCCATGCTTCAACTCCTCCTGGATTTGATTGATACAGTAGGGCAAGAACTTAGCAAGGACTTTCTCCGGCTGTACACGGGCCAGACAGGCGACCAATTGGCCAAATGCGCGGACGGCATTGGACCTTGCGTTGGTGGTTCCATAATCGTACACCAACTTCAAAACAAGGTCGAAGAGAGGCTCAGAAAGCTGGAGGCAGAGTACATCCAACGTGACCTTGAGAGACTTCAGAACGGCTTCTTCCATCTTGCCTCCAGTAGTGTTCTTCTTCCCACCTTCCTCGGGTAAATTCTCGTAAAGCGCGAACACGCGACGGAAGAACGATGTAACCCAGTCTGCGTTCACAGCAATAGACAAGGTCAAAGTCATCCTAGCAGTTAATCCGAAGTACGTACCTGCAAAACCGGCGGTGCTTTCCCGAGCAAGGGTGCGCTCTTCCTCTCGGCTAAGCTTCACCTCGGGCTCAACGCCGTCAGGGAAACGGTCCCCATCAGCACCGTCTATCTCCATTGTTTCTTCACCGGCGTCGCCAGATAATGGTACGCCACCCTGCTGCATAGACAAATCACCGATCTTAATGTGTTGAACGACCGAAGATATGAACATTGAGGCACAAGCGGTCTTCATGGGATCATTCTATTGACGCGATATCAGTACTCTAAAGGATAAGCCAGTTACGCAAAACGTACCAGATCGATTCCCGGTATGCACAGCTCAAGTAGTGGAACAATGTGCTTCTGTCCTCCGAGCCAGATTTTCTCGGACACGAGCGGCAATGCTCCTGCGGCTAGCGCAGCCAGAACCGTGGTCGTGCGGTGTGTTTCATTCACAGACTCAAGCCCACTGTAAGCTCGCTCTAAAATGTCTGGCATGACGAGGTTGGGTTCAAGTAATGCTAAGATGCGAAGAGCACCCTGAGAGTATGTGGCGGATATGGGATCTTTGGCGAAAATCGCCAGGAGGGTCGGCGTTCGCAAGATAGTAACAAAAGCTCTGCGAATGGCAGGGGTCAGGCGGCGCGTCTATGGCTATGTTAGTATACGTTGTGTTCAGTCATGCGCTTGCGGTACGCACGACCGGTGTTTTACAGAATGACTGCTGTTCCTCTTTCCATCGCTTACAGAACTCCAGTGCCAGACGGTGCAGGAAGCCCGTAAGCTGTATACCATACGTCAATTCTAATCTGAAAACGAGCAGATGCACCTACAGCCAACGTCCAATGACCGGAATTTGAAGGGTGGAAGAAAGATTCGGTGCTGGTGATAAGTTTGTCCAGTGTGTCCAGCGCGCGAGATCCTGCGAGAAATCCTTGCTGTGCCTCACCGCTTCCGTCGGTGGGTGAAGTTCCGTCTGTTCGCACAGGTCCATCTAAAGATATAGAATAGACCATGATCTTCGCCAGAGCAGCTGTATGAAGGTTAAATACAACAAGCCCAAGCGTCGTCCGTAAACTCACCATATTTGCTGATCGGTTTGGTTATACGGAGCGACGATTTGTCTGCCATGGTATCGGCATGCCCACCAGTCGTGCTAGCACCCTGAGTGGACGACAGTCAAGTCAAGCTGGGCGCTACATATAAAAGGGATAACATACCCGTACAGCGCCCACAGGAACGTCTGCACAGAATATTGTCGGTAAACAGAGAGGGAAATATCATCAAGACTCACTCATGGCTCCCAACGCTTTCGAAGCAAGGACTGTCCATTCATCTTCACTCCAGATGCCGACGGACTTCCACTCTGCACCTCCTTCTTCTCCCGTATCACCGTATTTACCTGCGATGTGCTCTTCTGATAAATCACCGCACATCTCAAGTAGACGGTCATCAATCAGATGGGAATTGAATGCTTGCCATAGCTTGAAAAACACTGGCAGGTATAGATGCGTGTGCGTGGGAGGTAGGAATGCCGTCATCACAGGTATCATCGTCAGTACGTTCTGAAATAGGAGCTCGGTTCAATACAGTTCTCTTGGGGAAATGATGAGCACCACTTACGTCCTGTGTGATCATGGGCAAAAAAGTGGACAGCATGTCAGGTATCTCTGAAGGTGAGAAATAGCGTTTACATGTCTCCGACACGAAAAGTAAAACGTTCACAACGTTACGACTATATTTTTATCGTATAAGACAGTGCCGACCGAGTAGATGATGAACTGCTCACAGAGGGTCGTGCACTCTGCGCTTTGGCCAAAGCTCTCTCTGTAGAACGCGCCAAAGTGGCTTCCATGGAAGCTGAAGGTCGGTGTATTCCAGCTTGCGTCGCTGATCGGGCTTATTCGACAGAAGACGAGAGAGCATGTCCGCCCAGCTTCGTATGACCCGCGGCTCCAAGCCTGGGAGTACTACAAGCTCGTAATATAGCCGTGCCAGTTTGGCCCGAGTTGCTTTGGGCATGGGGTATCTCATAAGTAACCAGCTAAAATATCAAGATCAATAGCCGAGGAAAGTAAAGTCAATCTACCACATACCATTGGAGTGCACCGTCCCAAGTCGTGAGCACTAGCCAGTTCTTGCTCTTCGCACATATGCTAATATTACCAACGATGTATTCCAGATGTGCTTGCATATCTTCGACCGACTCACATTCGTAGGGCAGAGAGTTCAAGTAGGTCTGTAATACGGCGCGCGACTTGTCCGCCGCAGAGGGGATGGTGTCATCTGAGTCCAGAGGTGAGTCTGGCATCGACATTCCTTCATCTTCATCCATAGTGCTAGAGAAGAATAGGGGGGGTAGTTGTCCTGTTTTCGAGGCACTGAGTGCCTTCAATACCGCTGAGGTTAGCTCATCCATGATTCCGGGGAGTGAGAGACATGCCCGTAGGACTGACCTTATGTATTACAAGTTCGGCGGGTGACGCGGCCTTGAATGTACACGCACTTCTAACGCTTGTTGACTTGTTTGGTACGGAGAAACAGTCGTGTGAGTAGAGGACGCGTATGCTGGAACGCGTCAGTGTGCGGTGGCTCAGGCAAGCCCTAAGCGGATCATGGGCGCCTGTTTTATCATTACAACCTCATCTCACCCCGCCGATCATTTCCTTCTTGGGAAGGTCGTCGGCATCCTCAGGGTCGACGTCCCGTCGTCGCTAACTTTCAGACTTCGGTTCACGCGTCCACGACCAAGTCCACCTAAACAGCCAGCATGATTTCTTTGGTGCAGCCGTATGTCTGCCGCACATTGACAACGGTGACCACTCGCTCCTACATCGGCCCAGCCGCTCGCCGTGGCATTCACACCAACTCTTCCTCCACAGTCCGAGCCAGTTTCAAACCATGGCTCTGGGGAGCGGCATTGATTGCGTCTGCATCAATTATGTGCCAGCAAACCATATACCTTGATAGCGATGCTTCTCCGACATTGGACGAAACAAGTGCGTTCCAATTTGTAACGATGCCCATTACTCACCACCCTCCAAATGATTAATCCAGTTGACCCTGCGTCATCCCTTTCGTTTCCAAACACGCTCAAAATACAGTCTAAAGTACCACTTCCGACTCTGACGCTAGTGGGAGTAGGCGTACGAACCGTATCCTTCTTGGGGATTCAAGTCTACTCCGTAGGATTCTACGCGGACATGAACAACCCGAAGCTGAATGTGAGCTGCTTGTATTACATTCGATCTGCATGCACTAAATCTGTAATTTTGTGGTGACTTGTATGTAGCAAATCCCAAAGTCTGCCTCTCCTCGAGAGAAGATTGAACACATAGTGCAGAACTCGCCTTGTGTTCTCCGCATTAGTTGGTGTTCCGTTCCGTTTGCCGGCATATATCTCTAAACGATCTTCCTTTGGCTCCTCAGTACCAACACGATCTACCTCATTCTCTCATCTACGCGACGGATTTATACGAGCAATCCAAGCTCGAATGACGTTGTTCCGCAAAAACGGTGCGCTTTCCAAAGAAGAGGAGTTTTCTATCCAGGCACCCCTTCACAAGTTCAAAACAATGTTTCCCAATACGCCCCTCGCAAAGCATGCCCCCTTGGATATACTTTTGACCCCCCCGGAGCCCTCGCAACCCCGCGGTTTGATTATACGAGACTTAGGATCGGTTCAACATGATTGGTTAGCAAAAGAATTCTTCATGGCGTATTTCGAAGGCAACGGGCTCAGTCCTGCGGTATGCTATACTCAAAACGAACGCGAAAATATTGCATACTAACATATGTGTATTACAGATGCAGAAATCGGTCTTCAGTAGATTACAGGACTTTGGTCAGTAGATATAATTACAACTCGTTGCGGGTTCGCAGGAATTGCTTGATCCCACATAAAAGTTGGCTCACTGTTAAAATGGAGGTCGATCTCTTGTGTGAAAGTCCGCGGTCGAACCCGCGCAGGAGAAGCTCGCGTGTGCCAGATATTTTGATTTTACACTTCAAAATATCTGGTGCGCTGCATCCTCCGGGGTCAGCATCATTTATAACACCAGTGACCCTGACTCTCTCTCGGCTTACGCCAAGCAGTGTGACCACAGCTGAAGTTACTTGCTTCTGGAATTAACTGCCACCATTGGTGAATCGAAGGTAGGAGTCGATGCTCACTACTACGATATAGGCCAGTTGCCACGAGGAGAGTTGTACATGATGTATAATATAATTCCTAAGGGAGAATTCAACATATCCCGTTTAGCTCAGCTGGTAGAGCGCGTCACTAGTATATTACATAATTATGACGAGGTCAGTCGTTCAAGTCGGCTAATGGGAATTTTTGTTCGTAGATGCATTTAGATCAATCTTATCCTTGTGTTGTCCACTTTGGTCTGCTGCATCCCGCCAGGACACCGTCTGCCGTCATTCCTTACCTTGAAGCACTCATATTCTTGCCTATTACTCGTCGAAAAGATGATTCACGCGGTACTCATCTGTCTGCACACATTCTCATTGATGATCTAACTCACGGCTTACCATCTAATCCTCAGTCAATACCTCTGGCGTGCCCCGCCTCGCCAAGTTCTACACTCCACTGCAACAGTCTTCGCAAATTCTAGTCCAAAAGATATACTCCTTGGTTTCGTCTCGGCAGGCTACATTATGCAACTTCTTAGATGCACCAGAGCTGGAGAGCTATCTCAACCAGCACGGCGACAATGGGGAGAAGTTGCGGGTGGTGTACCGCAACTATGCCACCCTGTATTTCGTCTTTGTGGTCGACAGCGCTGAGAGTGAACTAGGAATACTGGATCTCATCCAAGTTTGTGCATATCCTTTTGCATGATTTCCCGTGCTAACAATCAGCTCGCTCCTGTACAGGTTTTCGTGGAGTCATTAGACCGCGCTTTCGAGAACGTTTGTGAACTGGATCTGGTGTATCACTTTGACGAGGTATATATCGAAGCGATTCTCCACTGCTCCCAGAGCTCAAGCGGCATCTGTAGGCTCACCACATATTGTCCGAAGTAATTCAAGGTGGCTTGGTTCTAGAGACAAACGTTGACGAGATAGACCGTGCGGGTACGGAGCACGCAGCATGGTTTCTGACCCACTTCCTGATATCTTTTGGATTTTCTAGTTCGAGAAGCAGCGAAAGCTCGCAAGGAATCCTTCGCCTCTGCCAATCCGCTTTCATTGGGCGGCGGCGGTGTCGGCGCTCGAGGAGGGACGCTACAGACTCCTTTAGGCTGGTTGACGGGCAAGTTGACTGGCGTCAGCGCACGCTGACCTTAACGAACCTACACGACTAATCATGAATACCGTGCCATTTATTCACGTTTCTCCTGAAGGTGCGGCCGTCATTTGCCATCATAACACTGTATTCTCTGGCGGGAAGAAACCAGGACAGTAGAGGGATCTATCCGACCCTAAGTCATTCAAGGTGTCTGACAGACTCTACCTACACCTGATCATGGCCTTTCGTGGACAATTATCATATTTTAATGCCATCGCCGTAGTCACCATTCGCGTTCTGAGATGACGAAGTCAAATATCACATTGCATCGTCAATCTGGGGTGCCGAGTACATGGTGCGAGAGATGTCTACCAGGGCCACCGACGTTATGGATTCAGGAGCATCCGGCTCGAGTGGATCCTAAGGAACCGTGTAAACCTGAAAATATGCCAAGAACACGGCATCGAGGTGCTCCCGGAATATCTTTCTAGTTTAGGCGTGCTGTGCACAAGCCGTATGAACGGAATGAGCCGTCGCTGACAGCGCTGACACCTCACCACCAATCGTGAGATGTGGACCAGACCGGCGTCGTAGATACTCTCATGTTTCGTACCTCGAGCACCCAATTGGATAATGGATACAGCATGGCCGAAAATGCGGGTGTGATAAACACTCCCAAAGAGATAGTGGGGTAACGCACGCCGATCATTGAACGATGGATGCTCCTACCAATAGCAAGTGAGTCTTACAGGCTCTATGCTTTATCAGATAAAGGGGACGCACTCTTCTTTTTCTTCTTCCCAGCGCCATTCGGTGCCTTGGAAGGAAATGTTTCCTGAGTTGCCGATGTGGGTTGCCCTCCAGATGCTTTGGAAGTAGAGCCAGCTTGTGAAGCAGGTCCCGGTGTGACAGAGGATCGACCTGCGCTAGCCGATATGGGGGTATCCGGAACAGTGGTATCTGGAACTGCTGTGGGCAACGTAAAAGACTGGCTGGCATGGATCGCAGTTGTACGCATGGCGTTCATCAGCAGCATATTATTCTGTCTTTTCTTCACACCGCTTGCAGTGACAAGAATCTTCTTCTTGACGGGTACATCGGTCAATATTTCGTCCGACGGCTGCGTCGCGGCAGGTTCTCCTTGAGAATCCCGTTTCTTATCGTCCGTGGCGGGAGCCTCTTTGATTGGCCACACGAATCCGGTGCGCGGAGTGTATGCCGGACGATTCTGCCGCAAAGTATCTAGTGAGCTTTGCAAGGAATGAAGCGAAGTAAGCTGAATATATATTTCTTGAGTATTCATTCCCAAACACAGGTGCAATAACGTACGAGGCGGTTTGACACCAATGTGTAGACATCTGGAGATTGATAGATGCGGTTATTCATTACGAAATATGCAACCAGCGGACGGACTTGGAACCATGGCGCGGATGCTGAGCGGCTAGCCTGTGGAATAGCACTGCAGACACACCTTCATCCGGGGAAATGCGTTCACGCTTGTGGATGATGAACAGAGACGGCGGCTGAGAATGCACAACGGCAAACTCTATGCCAGTGAACCGCCTATGAGGTGTACGTCAGCGCACCAATGGAACGGTGCCGTATATACGAGGATGGCAGTTGGTCCTCACCTAAGCTTCTCGGCTTCATCGGACAGGGGACCTTCATTGTGTGCTGTTTGCATGCGCAGGACTTGGTTATTGCTCTGCTTATCGTAGAACATGGAGTTTGAGAAGTAGTCAAAGACATTGTCGTTTGTGAGCGGTCCGTTAGCCTGGGTTGCAAGTGTGAACACTGGTCGGGTATGGGCGTAAAGGTTCGAAGATAACCTGTATCCATTCGTGCCAAATGAAGAATCTGTGCGTGTAGTCGTCAGAAGGGTGGAGGTCGTTGGGATCCATTCACGTGTAGACTGAATATCGTTGCGCGTTGTTGAGTGGATGTGTGGAGGAAGTGGTGGTCACTGGAGACGGCGACGAGGAAAGCGAGGTTTGGTGGCCCGAGGACATGGATCGGGTCAGATTCCCACGAGTGCTAAATTGAATTACTACACCCACGCTCCGCCTTTCGAGAGAGACACAACCGACCGAAGCTGGGAACGACAAGATGGATCTACATATGGCCTCTACCGTACCTCTGTTTCCTCCCATTACCCTGGTACCGACAAGTACCCTCAACATGCCCGAGAAACAGCTACTTGCCATCCGTCTCCCCCCACCAAAATGCCGCCTCTCGCCGCGGAAGGCTCGCCTTCGGGAGTAACAGCTCCTGAACAGACAAGCCCAGAGATCACTCAGTCGCGGATAAGACGTGCTGTAGGATCCGTGGTCAGTCATGTCAAGAACCACGTAAGTCTCCGAGTTACTCTGAACATGAATGTTCATGCTGAGAGCATCATCAGGTTGGTGTCGGCATCGTCTGCTCTGTGGCATACTTCGATCCGTGAGTAGGACGAAGCAACTGTGGTTCTTTAACCAGTGATTGACGTGACTCTATTAGAGGGAATTGGAGCGTTGATCTCCAAGCTGGCTCGGAGTTCGGATATAGACCGCTGCTATTTATCGTCCTGCTTGCAGGACTTGGTGCCATAGTTCTCCAGGTTCGTAATGCAGAGAAAGCGGATATGCTCATACTGACACTATTTTGACATCACAGTCTCTGGCTACAAAGCTCGGCTGTGTAACCGGACTCGGTCCGTAGTTCTCGTCCATGCACTCTTCAACTGTACTCACTGGATGCAGATCTCGCAACCCATTGTCGAATTCTTCTTCACGATCGACCCAAGCACCGCCGCTTGATCAGATATGGCGTCCTATACCCCCTCTATATTTTATGCGAGATTGGTATTATCTGCACCGACCTCGCGGAACTGCTAGGTTCCGCCATTGGACTTTGTTTACTTTTCCCTTCTATGCCGCTTTGGGCTGCCGTTCTTGTGACTGCTGCGGACGTTTTAGTATTCCTGGTTATTGGAGGCCCGTCTCGAGACGGTAAGCCTGTGAAGGTATTTGAGGCAGTGATCATCGCTCTGGTACGAATCTCATTCCTCAATGTATCAGAATCCCTCATCCAACTATCCTGTAGGTCATGGCAGTATTCGCATGTTTCGTTGTGCTGCTGGTGAAAGTAAAGCCGGTCTGGTCAGACGCGTTCCTGGGCTATGTGCCATCCGCCAAACTATTCGACACTCATACCAACATCCTCTATATAGGTTAGTGGATGTGCCGTTACATGATAGACTTCGCTGAGAAGTATCTCTAGCTGTCGGTATATTAGGAGCTACGGTTATGCCGCATGCTCTCTTCCTTGGATCCTTCCTCGCCACCCAGGATAGGGTTGGGTCCTCCGACACTAATCTGCCTTACCCGATACAAACATCTGAAAAGCCCACATACAGCAGTCCCAAGGCGCGGCTGAGGGTCTGGTTGAAATCCCTCTTTGAAGTCAGCCGTGCAGAGCGCATCGCTGCCTCGCGCGAGTACAGAAATAAATACGGCCATGACAACAATAGCTTGTCTTTCATACGAAACCATCTTACCCACGGGATTGTTGACATTGTTACCAGTTTATTGGGAGTGGCGGTACCAATCAACTCGGCGTATGTGGTTTATACTCCACCGATATACCAATAAGCCGCTCATACGACTAACCGTTGTTCTTCCAGGATCCTTATTCTTGCTGCCGCCGTCTTCTTCAAGTCGGGAGGAGGGCATCCGATGCCGGCAAGTCTGTTTGACGCACATGACCTGATTGTAGAGCGCGTAGGCAGTGGTGCGTGAAACTTGAAGCCTATGCATCCCATCTTATACGGCCGACGCTCATGCGGACTTCCAGCCGCTGGTGTGGTCTTCGCGCTGGCTCTGCTATCTGCCGGGCAGAGCTCCAGCATCACGGCGACGTTGGCCGGCCAAGTCGTGTCCGAGGGTTTTATCGAGTGGAGAATTTCTGTAAGCATGACGTCTTACTGTTCCCCGTCGGTGAGCTGATGTAACTGCTCAGCCTTTCCTGCGCCGGCTTGTCACACGTTTGATAGGCCTTGTACCTTCGATGATAGTGGCAATAGCAGTGGGGAAGTCGGGCATCAACTCTCTTCTGGTCGC